ACCGGTTGTGTGCTTCCAGGGAAATTTTGTCCAGTCATTCACATACTACTTATTATGATATATATATATCGTAACGTGTGGATCCCGGGATAATGGCTATCCAGTACCTAAAAGCATTTTAGTTAGGTGTGGAGAGAACTATCCGACGTCTACTGATGCTTAGCTCATATCTCATATATCGTATAAAAAAATGTATGATGCAATCAGCTCTAATACATGTGTAGATCAATCACCCTTTTGTTGACCGATGGTTTTCCCGTGAACCGTTAAGACAGTCAATGAATTTGCGGCTGGTCAACCTGCACTTGCATCTCGCCAAATGTTCCCGTACGACCAAGCGTCCCTAATAGCCTCTGCNTACTCACTGCCTCCTCTCTCTTGGTGGCGGAGGTATTTTGCAACCAAAGCGGGAGGACGAATACGCCTATATCCGGGGCTGTAACCGGGTTAGTGGATCACTGACAGTTCACCTAGGGGAGTTGGCCAAAAACCCTGGTTCCAAACACATCAGGAGGAGGTGTACAAACCACACACCTTTCCGGTTATGACAGTCGTCACCGAAGGTGTGACCCGGTCCAAAGAGCGTATGATCCGATGAACTAGACACCGGTCCCCAATGAATTGCGGTTTTCGCACACCGCCCCGCTGCCTTGCGGGTCAGCTGGTTGTAGATTGTTCAAGAAAATTCTCCTGCTTTGGACTCGGCAACATGACAGTATTCCGCTCGCATGCAACTCATGGAACGTTTTTCTTTTTTTCATAAAGATTATCGCACCATGATTTGTTGTGCACATTGCCTGGATTCAGACATATGTGGAAACATAATATGTCTGTTCATCTCGTCTTGTCGATGTGATCAACTAGAAAATTTTGATATTCAACTTATTGGGGTTGAAATTGTCTAAAATTGACTTGGGGTTAGTGGAGGTAAATAGGTAACTTGTCAACAAATTCTCCCAATGAGCTATCTAGTGCACAAACCACAGACCGGTTTGCTTCAAGTCATTTCTGACGAATCAAGGCAGATCACGGGGACTGTTTTACTGAGACTTGCAAAGACAATTTTTCGTGAAAATGAAGTCTGCACGAATGTCAGTTCACTTTCAGCACTTGTGGTGAACTGGAAACCGGGATACAAGCTTCCCCTAATGTTTCTTGGCGCGTGTCTACGTACTTCAACATTAAACAAGTATAACAACACATGCGTGCGTGCGCACAAACAAACCGGTCACTGAGATCAGCTATTGATCGAACAGAGCGTGCGTAAGCGAGCGCGCGCGCGCGGAGATTTTGGCATATCAATGAGTTTGCACCCGTATTTCGAAGGGTATTAACGGTTTGGTTCTGTCTGCTGCCACAGGCCCAAGATAGAACAGGAACTAGATTACCATTAGATACGTATTTAGGTTTTTTTAGATGTGTACCACGAAAATCGACCGGTTTTGGGTGCAAGACGAAGACAGTGTATTCAAACAGTCAAGGATCAGATAGTGGACATTTATGTCCATCAAAACCACTCTCATTTGGTCTCATGTAACGGATAAGATCGGGTCTGAGTAGCACAAAGTAAGTGACGTATTTGGTATGAATACTACTAATATCCGACAGCCAGGCCGCTCAATGCACTACACGCGTACACGTTTGACGATGTATTCAATTTAGTCCATGCATACTTGTTCAAACATGCGTCATCACGATGACAGTCCCAATCCAGCTGTGGTGACCAATGGAACGATCGTATGTACCTATATGGATATGTGGATATGGAAAAGTGCTGGTCGTTTCTCGCATACGTGCACACGCCTGGATGAGTCCTCACTCTGTCACACACACACACACACATCATCTGTCAGGAAAGGGGTCGAGAGAGAGAGGGAGAAAGAGGACATGATGCGACAATTCAAAATTCAAACTTTCGTACTTTATGGTGGAAAATCTCTCAATCATTGTCAACCGGCTAGTGGTCCAAGCTAGGGAAAACACGTTGCACTATTGAACCCCGATTAAATGTTTGAAACTGGACTGTTACAACAAGTGATCCACATGCCTGCCTCTCCCCCGGGGGCAACTTATAATGCAAATCTGGGAAGCAGTGGAGGGGGGTTGGTAATACGGTAGATTCGTGTAGGTATTACATCAGAAGTTGGTATGTAGCAAAACGGACCAGTCAGTTGGTTACTCGATACTATTAGGCAGTCAGTACAACTCATAACCTGGGACTTTGCCTCTGAAACCAAAAATGGTCTCAGAAAGTGTAGTTGGTGTTGATTCCGGTCAAAGCAAGCAAACAAGCAAGGAAGCTTATTAGGCCGATGTCCGAACACGAAAGACCCAGTGCCTCTGGATCATGACAACAGAACTGGGGACTAAAACAATCGGACTGGATGAACAAATTTTCAAGCACCGCAATCCAGTCCATTTGAGCTGAGTCTATACAGGTCTGAATACTGGACGCGGGTTCAAAGTGAATGAATGGTGTACTGTAGTGTAGTATGCAGTTGCTTGTTACTTGGAAACATAACGTTTGGTTATGATAATCACACCTTAACGGGCATCGATCGTTATGTGATGAACCGGAGGAACGGTAAACCGATCGTTACCGGATTCCACCGTTCGGATATATATTTAGACACTGCCAAAGTGTAAAATGTTGCCACATTCCTGGGCTGGCCCAGCCCTTAACCTAACTCTAACTGGTAAAGTAGACGAGGAGGTAGACAAAGTTTGTTATTTGGACAGTTATATTTCCCCTGGCAGACGCGTCACAGATGAAGTGTCGGCACATATACAGAAGGCTCGATTGGTATTTGCCAACTTGAGACATCTGTGGCTACGTCGCGCCGTCGAATACCGCAATCTACGTCGCATTACACGAGTCTGGCGGGGTAACCGGACGAGCACTAATGACGTTAGGCGTAGAGTTTTGGGAAATCGCGGTCGTCCACTGGAATAAGTGATCGACCTTCATAGATAACGCTGGTTGGGACATATGTTACGCATGTTACCAGAAAGGTGGTCACGCTGAGCGATGTTTGCCGCCGAGGGTAGTGGATGGTAAAAGGTCAGAGGCGGTCAAACTAAGATCTGGTATGCGGGTATAAAAACCGTACCCAGGAGTCTGGGTCACATAGGTCCCGTTAGGCTCCCAGGATGGGAACCCCGAGATCATGGTAACCGATGGTCAGGAGCACTGAGTGATATAACCGGGTGTCGTACATCCACTCATTATCTTTGCAACCTCAGTCCATGTTAAATCTGTCTTCTTTGACTCTGCTCTCAATATTTCATTCTTCCCTCTGCATTTTTTAAAATCCAAATTGACAATCAAAAGACTGCAACCGAAACCGGCGCATGAAAATGCATGGTTGTCAAAACTGAAGGTGAAGCATTGTCAAGCCCGGCTGGGGGATTCGGAATGATTAGACCAGAAGCGTAGCATTGAACTAGGTGCTGGCAAAGTTATATAGCACCACAACCCATCTGTCATCGTTCACTGCAATGTTATACACATGCTTCTCTTATGAAGCGTAGGCTAGAGTTGGGAAAACATGATTACAGGTGAGTTCTTAAAAATCACTTGATTTTATTGTTTGTAAATCGGTATTCCTCATTTCTAATAGTATGTTTACTGAGTGAAAATTAAGTGAAACGAAATAAACACGTTTTCTTGAAAACCTGTAAGATTTTGTGAACCACAAGGAACAAAAAACGGGACAATTTAGACCAATGTCAGCCATACAATCATCAGTCTGCAATCTATTGACAACTTCTGCTACATGCCTCCGTTAGGCAACGTGCACAGAGACCCTGAAACAGTTTGGAGCGGATATAAGAACGGTCTGTCTATCTTCTATTTTGCGACTGGTCAGACGCACTTGCATCAGGCCAAATTTGACGGAGAACCAATCGAATTGTGCGGTCGGTCTGCGTTCCCCCCCCCCTCCCGCGCTCACATTCCGCGGAGTCAGCCAGCCTAGCGCCTTCACTACTCACGTGTCCCTCGTTCGGACCGGCCTAGTCAACAACCGGTGGGTAGATAAATCAGCTGCATTTCCGACCGACCGACCGACCGACCGACCGACCGACCGATTGATTATTGATTAATCAGAAATGGTCGATATCGCACGACTGCAGGATGACATCTGGGCTCGGTTTATATATATGATGGCACATGTGACAACGATGTATCACGTGCTGTCGGTCTGCACCACCCCCTCTCCGCCCTCCGCCGGTTAGTGAAGAGTGTGAATAAGGGAACAAGATGTTCAATAACTAAACCGGGAGATCGGAAATTCAGTCAGCAGCATTATGTATATGGTGTCTTTCTTTTTTCCGGACAACGATTACCGCAAAATCTGTTTGTCCCAACTTGGTAATTAATAATAACAATATCCTACAGGACTATGAAAGTCATTTGGGTAAAACTGATTGACCCCCCCCCCCTCTCCCCACCGACGGGGGGTGGGTGGGTGGATGGGTGAGAGGGGTTCATTCTTGCACAGATGTATAAAGGCAATTACAAATAGGAGGTTAAATAATAATAATAATAAAACGAGTAAAACGCTTTGTGTGACCTACTCACCTGGTGCATATTTTATACCCCACCAAATTGAAGGTGGCATTGCGGCGTGATGAAAGACATGCAGAAATGTGACCTGATCGGTTCGTCCACGCCAAAGGAAAAACACCGTATCCAACATCTCTATGAATTTGGAAAAATAGAACGCGTATCCGATTGCGACCACAATATCCGTTCGACGATCCGTCGGGTCGGGCGCTTCCACACAACCGAGGCCGTAGCCCAGTTTTTGTGCATAGTAGAGCGCTGTGCCAACAAGGGTAGCACTGTAGAGGACCATGGTAAAATTGTAAAAAATCATCAAACATCGAGTCAAGTCCCATTTAATCTCAGTCTCTTTTTGCAATGCACTGTTTTTAGATTTACGCATGTTCAAGGATTTAGACCAGGCACAAACTAAGCACACGTAACCCAAAGTGATTAACACGGAGGGTGTGAAGGAGGACATCAGTGGATAGGTATCCGCACGAGGATCTGAGTGCGGTGGGAGCATTGTCGGTATCTTCTGAATAAGGTCCATGTTGAGATGGTGGAACTTGTTCGACAAGCGGCAGTCGGACCACGACGCACAATACGGCTGAGATACGTCGGGTTGTCGGGTTTATGAATCAGCGAGCAAGCGAGTGAGTGAGTGAGTGAGCCAGTGAATGCCTGAGTCGAATGCAATAGGGCCTGATAGCGCGAAAACGTTCTCCGCCGCCCTCTCACATGTCTTGCGCTGTGGATAGCAAGTACGTATACATCTTACGCATGAACATGCATCAGAATCATGCCTTCACACTGATTGGCGGTCCCCGAGACGACAACAATGACAGTGTGATCACGTCACAGAGAGAGAGAGAGAGACGCACAGACGCACAGACAACACATGGACACGCACAAAAATTAGCGGTTTTGTCCCGGTTCTAGCACAAACAATGCACATACAACGCGCATAAACAAACGTACACACGGGTGGATATACGCCGTCGGAGTGACGCACTTGTAGGCAGACTCCAATGGGTGGAACGTTACAACCAATAGATTCGCTCACTGCTTTGGACCAATCCGGTGATGCCGGATCGTAACCAATTAGATTGCAATACATTTTCGTAGACATTGCGCATACAAGGTGCACATCAGCTGATAATCAGCACTCATTTGATATATTGTGTACAAGAACAGGAGCAAAATGTGGTTGTACCTCACTTTTGAGCTTCATAAATTTTTTTCCAGCGGTAATCGGCCTATACAGAGTTAGTTAAATATAGAGTGTGGAACATTGAATAATCAATAATTGACAGTGAAATGCAAAAAAGCGTAACGCTTCATTTATTTGGTGTCAAAATTACAAAAAGCAACTTTACACATACAGGTGAAATTTTTGTGAGGGAGTAATAGACGGGTGTGTGTGTGTGTGACTTGAATGATGAATGAGTTCCGCTTGGATCTTATCAGACGTGTTCATCCATCTGCCCAACTGAAGATCTGCGCGGGAAACAGTTAGAACCCAATTAGCACATTGTCGAATTGACAATTCTAGAAGGTAGCTGATCAGAGTGATTCATTTGTCCATACTCGAAGAGTACTTTATTTTTTTCACTTCCATACGAGAACATCTTTGTTCTTCAGCAGATACCCTCACGAAAAACAATTTTTCAATTTGTAGATGCATACTGCTAGGATCGTAGGTTCCGCAGTAGAATCTTTTCAACAGTAAAAGCATGTTTATATTTAGATGATGAATTCGTACGTCTTGTAACTGAGGCATGAGCTGGATAGCTGGGATGCACTGTACAGTTGTTTTTACCCGGTTGGGTCTTATCCGCGCACTGTGCGCGAATTCATCGGCCCAAATGGGGTCCGAACCCGGGACCTCATCACATGTAGAACGCAAGCGTACTAACCATTCGGCTACTGGACAGCTGACCGCGTTGTTTCTTATGTTTCTTATCCACGATATAGCACAACCTATCTTTACGAACTTGATGCGGACAACGAACTTCGTTCGTTTCAGAACTAGCCTCCCGGATTATGATTTGTTTGTTATTTGAGAGGAACGGATTTAATTTGATTAGATGGTGAATCCATCGTGCAAATGAGACGTGAGCTATATTTAAACTGAATTTTCTCGAGTTTCGATGATTCCCATTTCCACTTCTACGTGCAATGGATTACCGACAATATTGGATAGGGAAAGATGCCCTAGCTTCAACCGGGCCATCTGTGTATTCTAATCCACTCACACGAGTGTGGCTCATACCCCCCACCGCACGAGTAAGAATTTCCATCCCTGTCATGCGCTGTTCCTAGCCATTCATTTGAGCAACAAGAAAGACTGCTTCTACTGACTGCATCAGTGTGAGCGGATCCGGTCAACGCTTAACGTCCTTCACTGACAGTACAAATGTGACTATCGTAGAAGCGTGCGGAACAAACGGTTGCGTACGGGCCAATCCAAAACACAACGAACCGGATATAGTGGAACACCGTGCATCTGGATAGAAGTATTCTCAAAATTTTAGAGTAGCAAGCTTGGAATAGCTCATTCTACTGTTCAGAGGCACCAGACACTCTTGATGGTCTTGTATGTGGCGTTCACTCCTCGGGAGATCGTTCATTCCCCACTAGGTAATGCATTCAAATGCGATCAAGAGTGCCTGTTGCCTCTGAACAATCGAATGGGCTAATCTAAGCTTGCTGCTCTAAAATTGATTAAGCCATTCGCACAAGGAGATGACCGTGGATCGTGTAGCTCAGGGGTAAGGGTTTGAAGTCTCGACCCGACTGATCGCGGTTCGAGTCCTGACAGTGACAAAAATTACGCACTGCTGAAGAGTCCCAAACAGGACAAAACAGCTGCTCAATGCTCTCTGTCGGTTATCACAAACATTTCCATTGCATTCTCAAGTTAGTTCATAACCTGATGTGACCAAAACTGATCCGACAGTTGGCTAACAGTGTGTGTGTGTGGCCTGGGTAACGAGTAATCCCGGTAGTTTCTGTTCCGAACTTGATTTTTAACAAGTGAGTTGTTTCGCTGTTAGACTGGGAAACAGTGCAGTTGGCACTTCATTGAAATCCTTGAGTTGATTGTTAAGTGGTTTGTGGATCTCTCACTATTTTATCTGACATACTGACGGAATGAATTCCGGTGGAATAGCGTCTATGGGCGAGGCGAAAAAATCCGAACAGCTGCGACCCCATACAGAAGTTGGGTGGCAATATATTTGGGTTAAATTCTCACTTGAATCGATGAATTTGTCCGGTTGAAAAGACCTCTCAAGGTCCGAACGGTTTTACAGTAGGTCTTGGCTTTTCAACTCCCAATTTGTTTTGTTAGGTACACGACGAAATGAATCACGTGACAAAGCGAGTCACACTTCTGAAAGTTCCAAGATCAAGGGTGATTTCCAATGTTCCGCGCAATGGTCGGTCCCTAAAGTTTCATAACTCATTTTATTCCCTATTGATCAACTGCAAGTGTAGTGAATTTGTACTCCTTGAGACAGTTCTACTTTTCCAATATGGAATTGGTAACAATGAGCGAATGAATTTTGGAGACATTCGATTTTTTCCCTCGTAGTTTGTGTTATTTTCCGTAAGAGGCTCATTGAAGGATCTTAGGCCCAAATTCCGAGTAGGCCATGACCTAGTTGTGGGGAGAAAATGAATGTCCGTCAAATGTACAAGGGCTAAGCAAAACGTTTCCGGATGCACAAAAAGTTAGACAAACATTAGCATCACATTTTTTCTCAACGTATCCTCCATCAGTGTTCATGCACATACACAGTTCCATGCACTCAAACCATTTGGTGAAACAGCTCAATCACGTCGAAGCGAATGACCACCCTTCGACCAGTTTAATGAAAGCCTCCACTGCATATATTGGTCACTCGTGTCGGATTCCACGAATCATGCTGCCGCCGCCGCCGCCGCCGCCGCCGCCGCCGCCGCCGCTGCTGCTGCTGCTGCTGCTGCTGCTTTAATCCACATTTTTAGTCGTAGAAAATCATTACCCACATCCAGTCACATTGGCTGAGTTCCATCGTTTCAGTCCGAGTGTATAGCGACCCTCGTGTGACTTGTGAGTTGTGCTCTCAGCTGTGTTGTGATATTTGGTTCTGTATGTGTGAGTTATAATCACTGAGCTATATTCACAGTACGAGATTACGATTCACGTTTTCCTTTTCCGGAAACGTTTTTCTCAGCCCTCGTATGACAATGTCGTTAGACCATTTGAGGTTATCGATCCAGATTCGATGACTGTTTCGAAGTTCTCGAGACTCGGTAATAGCATAATGCATTACCCAGTCTCTAGCGTAGTTGAATAGGGATAGCTTTGGCGGATACCAGAAACAGCTAGAAATTCTATCGACTCTTCCCGGTAAGAGTGGACAATCAGCCTTATGTATTTACGGAGCAACTCTTTGATAGGTAACATGCTAAAGAATGATTGTCTATTAACAGGCTCAAAATCTGCGTAAAAACTGATGAAGCTAGTAGAATCTGGCTCTATCGGAATTTACACACGGTTGTTCGACGGTTTGCCTGGAGCCTGAATTTCCAATCGATACAACCCTTCCGTTGGCACAGACAGTTTGAATAATTGCAAAAACTGTAGGCGCCACATTGATGAGGTGAAAACCTCTGTGTTTTGCATAGATCGTTTTCATTTGATCTTTTGTTTTGTTGCAGAGAGTAGAATCGATATAATTTGGTTCTTTGGGGTGAAAGTTCGATATTCCATATACGACGGAATGGTCAGCGAGTCGGTTCAACAGACTTGGAAGTTATACTTTGAAGATTTCAGATGATAGATTTCATTCGACAGGGAACTTCCTGTTTTTCATCGGCATAATGAAGGTGAGGATTTCCGATCGTGTAATCGTCCCAGATGGATTTCAAGTGGCTTAGTAATGCATGGTGATGATCACCACTTTGGTTGGAAGTGCAAGCGATTGAGCAGGTGACCGAACTGTTTCACCCATCTTTGGAGATCTGTCTCTATTTGGGCTCTATAGTATGCCCGACAGTTCTCGACCGATGAAGCCCAGCGCGGATGTATTTATCTGACCTTCATTGGAAAACCAAGCCAGGAAATGTCTTTTTGTATGTTTGAAGTAGGTATTCGTTACGGTAAGCCGATTTAGGTGAGCAAACGTGACCCGGCCGTCAGCATTTTAGTATCTTTCATGGAGGCTGAATTCCAGCACAATAGTTATTGTGTATGCCCGTTTATAGGGCCCAAGTGGACGTTCCAGTCCATTTGCGACCAACAGAATATCGCTCCGGGGTGGAAGTGGGAACTGGTTGACTTTATTCTGGATTACATTGTAGAATTCGTCCTCGATGTTCAGATCAGCGGGTAGGATGACGGGTGTAGATTGCGAGTCATTTATGTTGGAGTAGCATCGGCCCGAAATTGCAGTGGAGAGTTTATGAATCCATAGCAAATGAATTTGTCAGAAAAATTCGTTCTGTGTAGCAGTCAGCTGTAAAGTGGGATATATGTACACTCTGGTATTTTTCCTCCCAGGT